TACAGAACTGGGATGGATATATGCATTGACGAGTTGACGGTGCATCAAAAATGGTGTACTGCCTGTAAGATCTTTTCTAAGTGCAGAAATACGGGTTGAAGTGTTTAGACAGAGCAGTAAAGGGGGAGCAATTACAAATCAATGGTTCACGCAGATACAGGCACAACTTCCAAGCCAGGAACATCTCGAAGACAAAGTTGTGATGAACCAAATGGCGACTATTCCGTTGCGAGAAGAAGTCTATACGATGATAAGAGGTTCATTGGCGCTCCCTTAGATAAGAGCCGATTACAAAAGGAGACGTACAACATTGGAGTGTGCAGGAAAAAAAAGGGATCGGACTACCAGAGGATGCATACGGAAAAAAAGTCAAAAAGAATCGATAGCCTTCCAGATTAAAAGTGGGATAATGGTACTTAGGTGAAAAGATAAAAGGGGACTCTTAATGGCTTCTACAGCGCACAGCTCCTCCGCTGATCCGACTTCGGGAACATTCGAGGTTGTGCAGAGATACAGCAGACAGAAATTGTTCGTTGATTTTGCCGAGCAAATGGAATGAGTTCGTACTGCTTATACATTAGGAGACATTCAAGTGATGCGTACTTCTGCTGGTTCTTGCTTTGCAGTTTGTAACTTTACAACTCGAAAGACCGACTTTCTTGAAACCTCGGCATGTTAATAATATAAAACTTTGAAAATGAGAAGAAAAGCTTAGAAAACTAATCTTTATTTAAAGCTTCACGAGGTTGGTATCTTTTCCCAATCGATTGATCTTCTTTCCGGTCGATGGGTTTTCGCGATTGCTTGTGGCTGACGTTTCGGCAAATACGCCTTCTTCAGAGCCTAAACGTATTATTCGTTGCAGCTTTATTTATATGACTATACAATAAGAAAAGAGAAAAAAAATTATTTGAAAATCTAAGGTATTGTAAGCGACAATCGATTCAGGGAAAACCACTCACCTAACCATCTAATCCAGGGACTACCTATGTTGTTAGCGACAGGGTGACGTATGAATCCGCCCCCATGTCACTAGGTCAAATCATGTATAGAAGTCAGCTGGGACCCATGCTAGAAAATCAATCTGAGATAAGGTGCCATATGGTTGGTTATGTTAAGGCACTCTCCCTTTTTGTTCATTTGCGGGTTTTTGGAATTTATCCAAAAAGCTTCAAAGGTCTTTCGCGGCGATGTTTTTGGTTCGTGCCCTAGGATTTTGACGACTACCTCGAAGTCGTCATCGTTGTGCCTTTGCGTCCTGTGTGTACCTAGAGGTTTACTTGGGTCTTTGTTTTTCCGTCTAGGTGTTCTTTAATGCGGATGTGAAGTGGTCTGCCTGTTTCGCCAATATATTCGCCACCACATGTCTTACAAGAGATAAGGTATATTGTACCTACGCTCATGCAATCGCCGTCTCTACCGTTGGGACAAATAACGCAGTCCTTTGTATTACATAGACGGTCATACAAGCGGTTTGAACTGATTGACGACGCAGTGTTTTGGGCGGAATTTCTACAATTCCTACAGAATCTTCTAGACCACTGTTTTTTAGACTTTTTCTAATAGCGGTACTGACTTCGTCTGTTATGAAAGGTAGTTTAAGAGGTACCTTATTGTTTAGGTGTGGCGCCCTGTCGTTCTCATTGCGAGGCTTATCGCTCCTTTTGGGCCTAACGTTAGTTTTTGTTTTTTCTTTGTACCCATTAGAAATGGCTATTTTTCGCGCTAAGTCTAGTGATTCCCTTCTTTCATCGTCTCCCGTACAGACACTTACAGCTCTTCGATACATATTTCGGATAAGTGCCTTTTTTGTATGTGAGGGATGGGAAGAAAGGAAATGTACCAAGATATTTTTGTTACTAGGCTTGCGATACCATTTTGTGCTGTAGCCACTTTCATTAAGTTGAACTTGAACGTTCAAGGAGGGAAGCCAGCTCTCTGAATTTTGTTGTTCTCGCGTCAACTTAATAAACTCTGACTGTCCGTTCAGGATTTCGTACTTTGTTTTGTACTAAAAAAGCAATGCCCGTGCAAAATTTTCAGTTGGGATGGAAATTAGAAAAGCGCAGAGCATTGAGGATTATGGGAAGAGTTACGACACCGTAAAGAGAAGGACACATTATGAAAAGAATACGATATTGTGAAGAGAAGTGCATTTAACTTTGGCGTCAAACATATGTTTCTTTAGCGTGATTTCGAGCATATTGAGCGTCTACAACATTCGCCAGTCTTCTGTGACACTCAAAACAATGGTTACGTTGTTGCTTTGTTATACAGAAACGATTAAGCAACGAGAAATATTCAGCACTCACTAGTCTTTTTTTCAACGACTGTGGCTGGATTTATCTTCACAAGCGAGCTACGATGCGATATCCGACTCCATTTCGTAAACGTGAACTTTCGATAACTCGTAGAAAACAGAGAGTGCTATGTATGTAAGTAGATATTTATATGAGTATCTGAAAAAGGGATAAGGGCTCTAAATAACTTCCGGAAGTATTATAGGCCGGAAAACAGCAAAGAGTCATGCAGAAGAGCACCCACCTAAATAGGTAAATTTCTTACTTTCCTTGGAAGCCAAACACAAGATTTAATAAAATTTTAGCTAAGGGCTGACATTACCTTTATGTTGAACTGTTTTTTCAAGACCTCGCTCAAAACAGCACAATCTGATAGCACATTTGAGCCTTTCGTGATGTCTGTTCTGGCACCTATAAAGTGCCAGACACGTGTTTCGGCCTTCTGCCCTCATCAGTAGTAAGGTGCTCTTCGGTTCAGTCAGGTCTTTGTTGGGGGATACATCTTTTAGATATAAAGGAATCGACACCGAAAATAATACACTGTCCGAGGAAGGTGAATAGATTACACCATATTGCAGAAATAACACATCGCTACATTTCTGGTGGCAAGCGTTTATTGTTCCAAAGGAGGACTCAAAGAATCGATTATAAAGGTATTATTCGATTTACCAGCCGCGAGCAATGGACTATTAATCACTACAATGATGCGTGATTTTTCGACTGGACATGTAGCAATTTAATATCTCTGCAGTGTGTAGTGATTTTTTCACTTCGCAGGAGCCGTGTAACATCTTCGGCGTCGCTTCTATTGAATTTAGAAGGTATATTCGCTTGAAAGAAACTGACAGAACCGGAAGGCGCCGTGCTGCTGATGAGGCAGGCTGAAAGGGCCGAAACAGCCGAAACACATATCTAGCACTTTATAGGGGCCATAACAGACATTATGAAAGGCTCAGAATATATTATCGGATCAAGAGCTGACATTTCCGTGTTTTTGCTGCTTTCAAAGGTTTGAAAGATTAAATTGTCTGCAATTCGGTCAGCCAAACTCCTCTATTACTTATACAGAAAGAAAATAGCCGAACCGAAATTTTAGTCGCATTAAGCTCAAAACAACTTTGAAAAAACACTCCGTTTTTTATGAATGGTCCACTGAATTCTTCAAGCAAGATTTCACGCGTGGAAATCATGCGGACTGCGATTGATCGTAAGGTGTATTTGATTTTTCTAAAGGCCTCTATATTACACTGTAACAATGAAAAGAACATGTTATTTAACACTCAAACATCTTTGAATGGACAAAGCTTTTCCTTGGAAAATCCAGCAATTCTTCAAAAACAGAAATCTCGATCAATCTTCGAGTGCTCTTTGTTTTCTAAGAAATTCACTATTGCTCTACAACAGTGAAATTACCATTGCATTTCACATGCGTTGCGCATGTGTTCCACCGCTATGTGCATGTATATTGTACCATCAGCATCAAACCGTCGCAGTTCAATAGCCAGTCGATAGCTCAAATCTCGTGGATTCCAATGGTGTGTTTGCTTTCTGAAAAAAGTCTCTTTAGGAGCTATAGCATCAGGAATAAAACTGTGTTGTTTATCTAAGTATTTTTTCGCTAAACACGGCTTTTCTCTCAAACTTTCACATTGCTTTTCTCTCAAGCTTTCACATTCATTCGATAGCACAAATCTTAATAATTTCAAGAAGTTTACATGCCTACTTTTTAAGAAAGACTCCTTAGTGCGTCGTCACAGCTAAGAGAATATTGAGTTTTACACTCGGGACTCACCGCTCGTCACATGTAAATTGCGCTGCGCTATCGAACAGCGCCTAATGTTAAATTTAATAAGCTGTTAGTTGTAATAACGCGCTAAAACGTCCTTCTCAGGAACCAAGCTTGTCACTACAATCGCTGATATTTGTACTGTCGAATGGTTATCAAAAGTCTGAATGAAAACCTCTGTCCAGCGAAAGATGTTTGAGTGTGAAAAAAAATTTGGTGCTTATATGTTAAACGATAACATATATTTAAGCCGATCTCATTCGCTAAGCAATAAATTTTCATAAAAGGTTTGCACAACTGGTGAAGGCGGACCATCTAAGTATCTAAGTAAACATACAACAACCAAAAAGTTGCAAGTACACCTCTCGTGGTAGTAGTACAATGCTAATATTGCAACAATGCAAATTCATTGCTTGACACTCTATAAACTTCTGAAATCTGCGTCAGTCAACATCACCTTATTTTGAAAAAGCAATTTCCGTGAAAACTTTTCAGTTGAGATCAAAATAAATACCGTTTAGAATTCACAGATATGATGAGAAGATATTAACATCTTAACTAAAATACGTTTGTCTTTGGTATCAAGCATATATTCTTTAGCATGGATCCTGAGCATATTGGGTGTCTCCAACATCCATCAATCTTCTATACCACTCAACACAATGGTTATGTTGTGACATCTTTATATCAAAACAAAAGAACAAACCAGCAAAAAGTACCCAGTGCTCACTAGTTTTCGTTAGCAGTTGTGGCATTTCCGCAAAGTTGCTCTAAGAAACAGAAGTATCAGACACCATTTCGCAAACGCGAACTTTTGATAAATCATAGAAATGGGGAAGGCTGTGCATGTAAACAGAGCACTCACATATGAGTATCATATACATCTAAGAAAACTTAGTGATGAGGAAAAGTACAACCTTAGACGGAAGTCGAACTCGCGTCTCATCCATTCCAAGGACACCTGCTACCACTACACCACCGACGTACATTCGCGCAACCAGTCATTATTCAATATTTCTATGATAGATGTCAGCCATCAACCTTTAACATGTTTGACGGGGATGCAATTTCGTTTTATAAACCCAGTAGAGCTGACAGCCATTGTGATACGTAATACTCGAAATTTCTACCGCTTTAACTACCTTTTCGCAGTGTTATGTTGTTCCACATACACCTAAGAGAACTGAGTGATGAGCAAAATTCTCAGATGAGTGTCTCAGAGAGGAGTAAGTGCTCTAAATCACTTCTAGAATGCACTGTAGGCCGAAAGACAAACAAGTCATTCAAAAGAGCAACAACTTGCATAGGTGAATTTCTTATTTCCCTTTGAAAGCCATATACAGGGTTTTGAAAAATTTTCGACTATGAGCTAACAGTACCTTTATATTAGACTTTGGGTTCTCGCTTGGTATAGTATGATATGGTAACATATTTCAAATCCTTCGTGAGGTCTGTCCTGGCACTTATACAGTGCTAGACACTTATTTCAGCCTCCCATCCTCATCGTAGCACGGTGCTCGTCGGTTCAGTCAGTTCCTCGTGAGAGGATCTACCTCTTACAAGAAATAGTATCGACACCGAAGATATTACACTGCTCGCGCAAAGTGAACTAATTACTTCACACTGCAGAGATAAAATCACTAAATGTCCAGTGATAAGCGTTTAGTGTTTTGAGCGAGACCTCAGAAAACAATCGAATATAAAGGTATCATTCAATCTACTAGCTATAAGCAATCAACTGTTAATCACTACAATGTCGGATGATTTTATACCCGCATGTGTATAGATCTCTGAGCACTGCTGTATAAAGTGACATTTTCACTTCACGCGATCACTGAAACATCTTCGCCGTAGCTTCCTTTGAATGTAGAGGTCTATACCCTTACAAGAAACTGACTGAACTGAAAGGCACCGTGTTACTGATGAGGCACGCTGAGTGGCTAAAACACGTACCTAGCACTTCATAAGTGCCATAACAGACCTCATGAAAGGCTCAAAATATACTTATCAGATCAGGAGCTGCTATTTCGGCGCTTTCGCCTTTTGCAAAGCTATCAAAGACTAAGTAGTCCAGAATTCGGTCCAAACATTTCTGTTTCTTAGACAGAAACAGATTACCGAACCGAGATTCCAGTCACATTATGCTCAAAACATGTTCCAACAAAATCATCGTTTTTATGAGTCGTCCACCGAGTTATTCAAGAGGTGACCTTTTGTGCGGAAATCATATGAACCGCGAATGTATCTTCCTGGTCAAAAACATTCTCTGTACTGTACCATATCATATGTATCAGTAATCATTCCTCCCTGCTATTCAAGCTTCAATTTATGGTATTTGTCTGAAACTCTTCTGAAAGTTTGCACGCTGATGTTTCACGTTCCCATGTGAGGATGGTGACTTCTACTTCAATCACCTGTATCACCTGTCGTCCCGTTGATCGTCGATTGACTCGAGCGTGTACCAGCAACACTTCCATTTCTCCCTATCGCGTGCAAGAGTAGCCCAGTGGGTTCTCCTCGCTCTGAGGATTCGCTGAGATCATATCTTTCTTCTATAGCTTTCGTGAAGAAAGCGGACCAACGGGTCGGTGATCTTCCTGTAGAGCGCTTGATGTCCCGAGGAATCCAGTCGGGAACGGCTTTCGTCCATCGGTTGTTGTTGAAGCGCATGACGTGTCCGTCCCACCTTATTTTCGATATCGTGGCGTCTACTGCAATATCATCTCTAATATGTATGCCCTTGTGTGCTGGCCTAATGAGGTGCTTGGTTAAGCAATACACTTGTCAGCTAGGTGTTTTTTCTACGGACACGAGAGGCCTATCCGTTTCTCCGAAGTGTTTCTCGCCTCACATTTTACAAGAGATCTGATCAACCATACCCGTAATCGTGCAGTCACCATCTTTACTGTTAGGGCAGATTTTGTACTCTTCCACTGTACATAGACGATCACTTATGCAATTGTGAACTGCTTGCCGCGTTTCGAATTGAAGTATATAAGACAATTCTCCAAGCGAGAGGTGCCTTACGAGTTCAATGGTCTCAGCCCGGTGGCCTTCACTTTAACAACATAGTGAAACAATTATAAAAATTGGTGAGCTTGTTTAAAAGTTGATTTTGTGCTTAATACGACTGCAATATTGGCCTGGTGACTATTCTATAAAGGTAGTTAAGGTGTGCGGCAGACCGGATTGTGGGCAACCTAATCTTTCCAGGCTCTAAAGAAGGCGCAAATGCCGAAACGTCATCTGTTTGAATAAATGCTGTTAAAAAGCTTCTTTTCCATTGACTGTTCTCCAGTAAGGTCTCTTTAGTGCTAACAGGCTGACTTGCATTCATCATCGCAGTCAGTGATGTCTTCCCGCCTCTGAACTTTACTTTTTTCAGATTTCAATCACCAACGTTGAGAGTCTGTAGCTTTTTCAATTTTTCACTTTCTCACTTTTTCAACTGAAAAATCCGTTGGGAGTTATTCGTTGCAGTTCGCCAACAAAATAACGGCGTTGTAGCTTTTCGATGCTGCGACGATTAGGTGAAACGATGAGCCTCCCATGAAGCGATTACGGTCTATCTGTCTAAGTCTCATACAGCGGAATTCTGTTAGCGCTTCTTAAGTCCATCATAGAAGAATTTTTTCTTTTCTCCGTCTACTAGGTAAGATTTTTGTTCTTAAATGAATATGAGATGACTCGGTAGAAAGTGATCTATAACATAAATACGCAATTACTGTCCCGTACTAATATAACTCCACGGACCTCCCTCTTTGAGGGATCCCGCCCGGTTAGTCGCGAGGGCACGTGGCGCGTCCCCAGGTGGTGGATAGGGGAATAAAACGCGAACCAAAAGCGACCGTGTGCTTCCCAGAGAGGCAGGTGGATTCAGAGGACGAGCTCCCTGCTTCTGCAGTGCCGACTTGACAAAACTCTATTTCTACGAGTCAAGTCGGCCAAAAGCCTGCAATCAAGCGGCTGGGAAGTACATGGGAGGCGGTTAGGAGTCGCCTCCAACAAATAAGCTCCTCCCGCTCCTCCGAGAGAGACTGGCAAGCTACTCGTGAGTACCTAGCCCCCACGTTTAGAGTCTGGCAAGCTACACGTTGGGTATCAAAAATGCCAAAAACAGTAACAAATATGGGCCTCATTCCCCTGACCCCGAAAGAGCCCCTGGTACGGCAGCGCCAGGTAGGACGAGTACGGAGAGGCTGCTAAAATCTCAGGGCCGAACTAGGCTGCCAAGATCGAAACGGACTAAAATGACGATCTGTACCTACAATGCAAGAACCCTTGCTCAACAATCCGCTGTAGAAGATCTGTTGATTCAAGCAAGAAGAATAAGGTATGACGTCATTGGCCTGGCTGAGACGAGAAGGCGCCATCCTTTTCACGCTGTCTATGACACCGGAGAAGAACTGTTCCTTGGAACATGCGATCGCAGAGGTGTCGGTGGCGTTGGCGTCCTCGTCAAATCGAATTTGACCGTGAACATTGATTCGTTCGAACAACTAACAACCCGCATCGGACGATTACGGTTGAAACGATGTGGTTCTATGCCGGCTTTGACCATCTTCGTTGCTTACGCACCAACATCAAGCTATGACGAAGACGAAGTCGAAGCGTTCTATATGGACCTCGAAAAATTCTTCAGAGAAGATCATACATTCTTCAAGGTCATTGTCGGAGATTTTAACGCAAAAATTGGACCTAGAAGAACGTCTGAAGAACGTCACATAGGGACCCACGGACTAGAATGGAATGAACAGGGTGAGAGGCTATCCGAGTTTATCATGACGACCCAAACCATCCATGGTAACTCGCAATTCCAAAAGCCTCTCTCACAGCGATGGACGTGGGAGTCTCCCAATGGAGAGTACCATAACGAAATAGATCACATCATAGTAAATCGAAGGTTTTGCCTGACCGACGTCGCTGTTGTTCCCAAGTTCTACACGGGATCAGACCATCGTCTCCTTCGCGCAACGTTCCGATTTTCGAGGAGAGGAGAGAAAGCCGCTAAATTCAAACAACGAAGTCCCAGAACTACCATAAACTGGGATGTATTCAAATCATTAGTCGGCTCTTGGGAAGATACCGTTGTCGACAACATCGACGAAGAATACGATCGACTCGTTGAATATCTTCACGTTGGCGCTAAAAAAAGCCGAAAGTCCTAAGGTCACGAAGAGACGCTTGTCTCCGCAGACACTCGAGCTGATACGTCAACGTGGAATCGCACGAGCCGCAGGCAACCGAAACCTTACGTCCGAACTTGCGAAACGATGCAGAGAAGCGATAAAAGAAGACCTTAAAGAGAGAAGAGCAGCAGTTATGGCAGAAGCTGCAGCAAGCTGGGAAGAGCATTCGCAAAGCCCAGCGAGGCTTCGCCAACTATAAGACCAAGATGATTGCACTCCGATACCCTGACGGGACACTTACAGCTTCCAGAAGGGCTATGGAGAAAATCATCTACCAGTACTACTCGGATCTCTTCGCTAGCCATGTTCTCTTACCGTCATATAAATTGAAAGAGGACGAATATGTCGTTCCACCGGTCCTTCCTTCCGAAATCCGACATGCTATATCGTCGGTGAAAAACAGAACAACACCCGGTCCAGACAGGATTAGACCAGAACATCTGAAGAATCTGCCGCCAGTTCTCATCAACACCCTGGCTCGGCTCTTCACTCGCTACCTGTCAGAATGCAAGGTCCCTATTCAATGGAAAACCAGCAAGACCGTATTGTTGTTCAAAAAGGGAGACCTTCACGACATAGGCAATTATCGCCCAATCTGCTTGCTGTCCGTTGTCTATAAACTCTTTACTCGAGTCATCCTGAACAGGATTGACAGAACACTGGACGAAGGACAGCCATGCGAACAAGCAGGGTTCAGAAAAGGATTTAGTACCATGGACCACATCCACACGATCACAAGACTCATTGAAGTTTCGCGAGAGTACAAACAACCACTCTGTCTCACTTTTATCGATCT